GTTTATAAGCACTGTTTAAATTGTTCTATTCTTCTTGTGTGATAGTTGTGTATCTGTCAGAGTAGTACTTTTGTTTGATTGGTTAAAGTTGATAAGCCTTATTTAGACCTCTCTTTAAGTTTGATATGTTTTCGTCAGATATGTTGTAGAGAATTGGAATATCAAGAAGTCTTTAGCAGTGATTGTTTGGGACTGATCATGTATCAGTTTCATCTTTATTAATTTGAACCTGTTATGAAAATATTTTGAAATTTGATTGGTGATCTGTCTATGTTTTTCTCGCTACTTTCCATTGATTTAGGTTTGTACTCTTGATTGCTCTCTCTACTTATTTTTCTCTTTTTCTTTTTGGCAGAATGTGACTTTGTGGAAGAAAGTTCATGTGATAAGTAACTTCTTCCTGGTTAGGAAGATCGTGGCACACATTGTTACCTTCATCTCCTATTGTGTGAGAATGAAAATGAATGAAATGAGATTTATTCCTAAGCAGTACGCTTCTATCTCCAGTTCGCCACTTGCAGTCACTATGATTATTCCTCCAAATTCTGTATCACTTAGCACGTCTATATATATTCATGAACACTTTATGTTCGTGAGTAATACGTACGTATTATGGGTGGTATTTATAATACTGAACAGCAGCATATATCAATCTTTGAACGTACAATGTTTTTAAGACTCTTTTATAAGCCGTCATACAGTTAGATATTTTTCTATAGTGCAGCTGAAATTAAGATAATATAGCTTAAACATATATTGTATATGAGAGCATGTATTTGTAATTCATTACTTGGTTTATATATGTATCTTTTTGGAATGTTGATATTCAGATTCAAAGAGTATATGTGAATTGTTAAACCGGGTTATGTTTATGTTTATGTTTACGATTAATGTTATTATTATTTTTCTAGGGCGGCAGCTCACGAGCAAAGCATAATGTTGATAGAACTTCTATATGAAACATATATCTGGTTCAGAGAGAAAAAAATCTTCAAACGTTCACTTTCAGTAGTTTAGAAAAATTTATAGCTCAAAATTCTATTATTATAATGATAAATTACATTATTTATTTTATATTTTAAAATTAAATCTGCTTATTAAATATTTTTAAATAAATTAAAAACAGTCTTTTCATCCAAAATCCTACCAAATAATAAATCTCTAAATTTATAATTTCTAATATTTTCAAATAATGATAAATCTCATAAAATTTATAAATTTAAAATTATAAATATCGAATTAACAATAAACTACAATCAATATATAATAATTTAATTATGTATAATAAAATTGTTGTACGGATTATATTTTATAAGTTATTCAGTAATATTTATTTCAAAATTCTAATCAATTATTTTGATATATAAAAATATCTATACGATTCTAACAAACATCTATATGTATAAATAGCAATGATAATTTCATATTATTTATTTTTTAGTTATAATTAATAAGTTATTTGTTTATATCGTGTTACCATTAGTTTGAGAAAAAATAATTTAAGTCATGAATGAAATATATAACTGAGAGTGGAAATAATTTTCCTCTACTATCTAAAATAAAAATTGAGAGATAATAATTAACTATCTTTTAAAATTATTATAAAAGAAATTATTAAAATTGTTGTAGGAAATTTATCAATATCAATACCACTTTTGGTTAAAATAATTAATTTTAAAATAAATTTATTTATTTGCCCGCACGTAGGGCGGATTTACCCTAATATTTTAATAGAACTAGGATTTTTGCCCGCACTTGCGGGCTTAATAATTTTCTAATATCTATAAACAAATATAATCAATTTAAGTAAATTATAATAAATTATTTTTCATACACTCAAAATATTTAATAATAATCTAAACAAATTGTTTCTATATATAAAATTTTTCATCATCATATAAATAATTGTCATACACAAATTAAATGTAAAAATACTCATAAATTTAAAATATTTAGTAATAAACTAATATCATTTTTAGACATAACAAAAAGTATAATAAAATTATCTTTAGTAATGTAAACTATCTATACATAAATTCTTTGCGAATTATTTTTTAATAATTAAATATATATTAACAAATATAATTATTTTTCAAGGTTAATAAAGACTTATAACACAATTATAAAAATAAATAATGATAATTATCAAATTCATGAAATTCGTTTTTAATTTACAATTAATTATATATTAAGAAATATAATTATTTTAAATATAATTATTTTTCAGTGTTGATAAAGACATAATATAAAAAAATATAAGGATGATTATCAAATAAATGAAATTAGTTTTTAATTTATAATTAATGATATATTACTAAAAATATGATTATATTTCAAGGTTAATAAAGATTTTATAACCCAATATAAAATAATTTTAGATAAACATAAATCTAAAATCATTGAAATTCATTTTTTACTTATATTTAATTATATACTGAATTTTTTAATTATTATATAGTAATAAATCTTTTTTGGTCAAATAGTAATAACTATTAGTCATTATATAGTAATAAATTTAGTTAGTCATTAAGTTTATGGTTGCTTTGTCATTAAGGATAGTAAAAATCATAAGAACATGACAATTAGATTTATTACTATATAATGAATAATTAGATTCATTATAATCATTAGTTTAAATAATGATAATCATCAAATCATAAGAAACATGACAAATAAGATTTGTTTATAATTATTATATAGTAATAGATCTAATTAGTCATTATATAGTAATAAATCCAATTAGTTATTAAGTTTATGTTTGCTTTGTCATTAAGGGTAGTAAATCTAATTAATATATGGTTCATAATTATATAATAATAATTTTAATTAGTCATTAATTAAGGCTAATAATTAATCATTAGTCAAAATCATAAAAACATGATAAATAAGTATAATTACATAAAATTATGGAGAATATGATAAATAAGCAAATTCACTTTTTAAAATATAATTAATTTATTGTTATTGTTATTTATATATTAATTCAGTTTTAGTTTATGATTTATTAATATCAACTATTTTAGATAATAATAGTCATCAAATCAGTGAAATTTGTTTCTAATTTATGGTTAATTATATATTAATTAAATATTTTTCTGATAACAACACAATATATATAGAAATTATCTTCTTTTTTTTTTGGCTGATTTATATATTTTATCCATTAAGGATATAAACTATATTAACCACTCCAACTTTTAACGTGGAAGCTCCGTTGCGAAAAATCACTTTGCAAATTTAAGTGAATTATCTGATTTGTAATTTCTCCAAGATTTAGATAATTTTGATTATTTTCATATTTTTAATAATTTCATTAAAATTTATTATAAAATAGTAAACAAGATGAATTTATATTAATAATTTTATATTTTTCTAAAATAAGATAATTCTTATGTATTATGTTGTTATGTTGAAAATATATTTCCTATTATAAAACTTGATATTAAGATATAAAAATTATACTATTAATAATTAAATATAAATCATCAAAAAAATTATTTGAAAAGTGAATTTGTTGATTTGTCTTCATTTTCCTAGATAATTTTGATCATTTATAAGAATTACTCTAACTTTTTTATTATTGATTATATAATTAAAAATAATTTATACTAACAATATGATATTTTAGAAAATAAGTTAATTCTTATGTATTATTAATGTAAATTTATTTCAATTATAAAATAACTACAACTTTTTATATCTTAATTTTAAATTTCTAACAGAAAAATATATTTTCAAGAGAACAACTTAATACATAAGAAGTATCTTATTTTCTAAGAATCTGATGCTATTAATATAAATTTGTTTTAAATATATAATAAATTATATATAAAATTAGAGAAATTATGATAAACTATCAAAATTACCTTAAATCATGGAAAATATGACAAATCAATAAACATTAAACTTATGATAAATAAATAAAATTACATAAACTTATGGAGAACATGACAACTAAGAAAATTTACTTCTTAAATAATAGTATAGATATATAACTATTAAAAATATGATAAATAAATAAAATTACCTAAACTTATGGAAAACATGACAAATAAGCAAATTTACTTCTTAAATAATAGTATAGATAGATACATCATAGCATTTTATAAAATACATGCACTTAGAAAAACTTGAGTCCAATTAACACCCTGGAACACGTAAAGATGACTACAACTATACCGATGTTTCAAGTATTTACGCAATTACTGCAGAGATTTGAAAGCAAAGCCGGGCTTGACCCAAGTGGGAAGAAACATTGGGATGGGGCCCCCACTTCATAGGGCCCCCAATTTAAAAAGAACTTATATATATAATATCTATTTAATAAAAATATAAAAATATATTAAGTAAAAATTGTATTTTGAGATGAAATATATGATTATAGGTTTTAAAAATAGTTTAGTTTAGCAATTACAAAATAAAAATGCAATTGATTTTTACTATAAAATTAAATAAAAATATAATTTTGTATCGGGCCCCCATGAAACTAGGTCCGGCTCTGTTTGAAAGACATGAGTCTGATGATTCATCAGGAGTTCAGGACACAGGCTAGAGTATAAAACATGCTTTGGATCTTATATTTCCAGAAGTAGACTGAAACTTGTAGAGCTTTTAAAGCATTGTTATAGAGTTTGTATAGAACTATAAATAGACAACTAGCAAGTCCATGTAATATCTGTAGCTTCACCGTATAAAACATGATTTAGTCTCCACTCAAGGGAACCCTGTGTTTTGTAAGTTCCGATATAAAAAAAAAAGGGGCGAAGAGTAAACAAAAGCTAACAGGAAAAAACCAAAAAGGGGGCGTTCCGAGAATCGAACTCGGGACCTCTCGCACCCAAAGCGAGAATCATACCACTAGACCAAACGCCCTTGCGTTTAACGTTTAAAAGGCTTACTAATTAAACTTAAAAGAACCGCAAAAAACTAGGGTTTTGCAGAGAGTGTATATATATTACTCATCATCATAACCTAACTACGGCACGAGTCTCCTTCTCTCTATTCCGCCGTCGTCGACGTCTTCAGATCGCAAGGTGAGCCTTGAATCGTCTCTTGACATCCTTTTGATCCTTTTAAGTTCTTCATTATCTAGCCCTTACTCATTAATTTCATAAAACACTTTGTTAATCTATACTTTCATTTCGAAAATTTGGTGTAGGAGATCGAAATGACAACAGTTCCAGGACAGCTTGTCTGGGAGATCGTGAAGAGAAACAACTGTTTCTTGGTCAAACAGTTCGGTAGAGGCAATGCCAAAGTTCAGTTCAGCAAAGAGAGCAACAACCTCTGCAACCTCAACTCCTACAAGCACTCTGGTAATGAACACAAGTTACTGCCTTTATGCATCAGCATTATACACTCTAAAGTTTGGACCTTTTGATGTTGGTCTATTGATTTAAGTTGTTATTAAATGTTGGGTCTTTTTTTTATTTTAGGTTTGGCAAACAAGAAGACGGTGACCATTCAAGTAGCTGACAAGGAACAAGGTGTTGTACTTGGAACAACCAAGACCAAGAAGCAAAACAAGCCTAAGCTCTCTGTTAACAAGTCTGTCCTCAAGAAGGAGTTCCCTAGGATGGCTAAAGCTGTTGCCAACCAGGTATTAATTCACTTCTTACAATCAGCCATTGTTAGGTTTTGTTGGTTTTAGGTTCATTCTCTAGTCTTGTGGTGAAATGTTCGCACTGAATTGATGATTGGTGGTTATAGTTTTGGTTTCATGAGCTGTGATGAGAAAGCTAACATGTAAGAAGAGACTACTCCTTTGTGGGGTATCTCTTCTATGAAATATTTTTGTTACGCTTGGCTTCTGAGCTAATAATAATTAGATATATTTTATTTGTTTTGCAACCTCTATCAGTGATGAGAAAGCTAACACGTAAGAAGATGATTCCTTTGTGGGATTTTCTTCATTGAAATATAATTGTTACGCTTGGCTTCTGAGATTCTTTGCTGCTCATATATGATTTTGTGACATTTGGTTTATCTGTGATTCTTCAGTGAAATATACTTGTCTCTGAGCCAATGGTATCATAAATCATACTCATAAATCATACTCAGAATTTTGAAATTAGTTTCTATCAGTGATGAGAAAGCTAACACGTAAGAAGAGAGTGCTCCTTTGTGGGGTCTTTCTTCTATGAAATACATTTGTTACGCTTGGCTTCTGAGATACATTCTCTCTTCTCTGTACTATTTTTATATCCCTGCTTCTTTTGTTTCCTTTGTCTAACTATCAGTGTACTAATTGATTTGTTGTATAATCTTATCAGGTTGTGGACAACTACTACAGGCCTGATTTGAAGAAGGCAGCACTTGCTAGGCTCAGCGTGATCAGCAAGGGTCTTAGAGTCGCCAAATCTGGTCCCAAGAGGAGGAACAGACAGGCTTGAAGATATTTGGCCACTGAATGAAATATTTTATCTCTAAGAACTCTTATTTTGCGAGTTTCAGACAATGCTTGTAGTTTAAATATCTTTCCTGAACAGTTTAGAGTTTTGCTTGGAACAGCTCCATTGTTATCCATTTTTCACAAAATTATATTACAAAAGTACTTATATTGGATTGGCATCAGAGGCCACCAGATAAAGCTCTTGGTTTTGAAAGATAAACTCTCTCATTAACCATTAGAGTAATCACTTTTGGTAAAAATATTACAAGCTTTCTTTTTATAGAAGGCACAAACTAAACATCCAATGTAACAGCCTCCACGAATTTGAATAATTTCCACCCAAAACTGTTTGATTAGAGAATGCTGAACTTACTGATTTGTGTAAATTCGTTTTAGCCAGAACATTAGAATTTTTCGGATATTATTTTTTTCTGTTAGATGTTTTTCTTATTTTCTTGTGCTGCTCTTAAAAAGAAAAAAAAAAAAGAGAATGCTGACCTTACTGATTTGTGTAAATACGATTTAACCAGGACATCTAGAATCAACATGATCAATTTTTTGGATATTATTTTTCTCTATTAGATGTTTTCCTTATTTTCTTGTGCTGCTCTATGAGACTATGATGATACTTGATTGGTACTTGTTGGTTTAAGCCAAAGAGAGTCCTTTGGAGGTCTGCATAAGCTTAATGACACTTTCATCTAAAATGCTTGAAGGGATCCCTTTTCCTCGTTTCTTCGAGCAGTGTTAAGCTTTTGGTACACACTTCCTTTTCCTTCCTGTCTTAGAGCAGTGTTGAGCTTTTGTTACACTCTTAGTTTAAATCTTGAAGAACCTTAACATCTTCTCAAACTCTCATCAATCTTGATTTTTAATAGGCCTTAGAGCAACAATATTGGTGTCCCTTAAGGCATCCGTTAGAGGGGAGGGGGACCACAAAATGCGGGGACCGAGGAAGAAAGAGAAGGGAAAAGCCCTTATATAAGGGCTGTCCCTTACAAAAACGTGACCAAACAAAAAAAAAAAAAAAAAAACAGAACTTAAGGGCCTTTATCCCAATCCCTCCTATAATGTTGCTCTTAGTACTGCATAAAGAAGTAAACAGATTGAAGAAGATGAATTTGTTTTACTGAGTTTTCATTTCATTCAACTTAAGGTTTTGAGTTACATTATGCAAGCTTTTTATAGGAAAATGTGAAAACCCTAGATTCACGAAACTAGATCTAAACATCCTGATCGTTCAATGAATCAAGGGCTGAGAACATGTTGTACAGCTTAACTCCATTAACGCTTCTGCACTCTTGCGTCATCTGTACTTCCTTCTTGTCCTCTTCTTCACGTTTTAAATCTGACCATTGCGCGGTTATAGCTTTGGCGCGTAGGCTTTCTCCTTCTTTGGGCTTCGACTCTTCTTGGCCCGTTTTGACTCTTCTCTTTAAACCCACACTCGAAACTGCAGCGTTTTGACTCCTCTATTCAATAGGCCCCCTCAAACTTGGTATCGGTGGGAAAGTGATGCCAAGTTTGAATCGCAGATCATCAAACGCAGTATACGGTAGAGACTTTGTGAAGATGTCTGCTAGTTGAAGGTAAGCCGGGACGTGTTTCACCACCAGTGTTCCAAGCGCCACTCTCTCACGAACGTAATGATAATCCAACTCAAAATGTTTGGATCTTTTATGATACGTTGGGTTCGCTGTGAGATGTACTGAAGACAGGTTGTCACAATAAAGCTCCGGTGTGACACGAATGGGTACTCCAATTTCTCGCATAACAGAGCATATCCAGCTTAACTCAGAGGCAGTTTCAGACAATGACCTGTATTCGGCTTCTGTGGAGCTCCTTGAAACTGTTGGTTGTTTCTTAGATGACCAAGAGATAATGTTGCTTCCAAGGAACGTGCAGAAGCCACCTGTTGACCTCCTTGTATGAGGGCATCCAGCCCAATCACTGTCGCTGTATGCTCTCAGTGTGAAGTCAGTATCATGAGACAGGTTAAGTCCACAGCCAACGGTGCCTTTGACATACCTTAAGACTCTTTTAAGGAGACGATAGTCTGAGACTGATGGAGCGTGCATTTTCTGGCATATGTAATTGACAGAGAACTGAAGGTCTGGTCTCGTCAATGTCAAATACTGAAGCTTGCCCGCTAAGCTTCTGAAGTAGGTTGGGGATTGAAATGGAACATCTTGGTCTGGAACCTTATTCAACTTAATTGGTAATGGCGTGTCAATTGCTGTGCAGTCACTCATTCCTGCAACTGCCAGTAGGTCCAGAGCATATCTTTCTTGAGACAGAAACAAACCATCATCATGAAATTTGGCCTGAATCCCCAAGAAGTACTCCATTTTGCCAAGATCCTTCATTCTGAACTGCATGTTTATGTCTTGAAGGAATCTTCGTTGAGTCTCAGATGAGTTTCCAGTAATTAACATATCATCGACGTACAAGAGCAGCATGATAACATCCTTTCCTCTCGAATAGATGAACAAGGAAGGATCCTTTATGCTACACTTGAAACCGAATTCCAGCAAGTAGCAACTGAATTTATCAAACCATGCCCGTGGTGATTGTTTTAATCCGTACAGAGCTCTGTGAAGATGACAAACATGATCAGGTTTAGTCTTGTCCACAAACCCTGCAGGCTGCTTCATGTATACCGTCTCAGTTAAGTTGCCATGTAAAAAGGCATTTGCCACATCCATCTGTTTTATGTCCCATTTCATCACCGTGGCTGTATGTAGAATTAGTCTGACTGTTGCTGTCCTTACCACTGGACTGTAAGTCTCCCAGTAATCTACTCCTTCTTCCTGACCACATCCCTGAGCTACAAGTCTTGATCTCAGTTTCTTGACAGTGCCGTCTGATCCAAGTTTTATCCTGTGAATCCACTTGTTCCCAAGAACATGCATATCTGGAGTTCTAGGAACTAATGACCATGTGTTTGTGACTCTGCAGTTTTCATACTCTTCATGCATAGACTCTCATTCCACCCTGGATGTTGCAAAGCCTCTGCAACAAACCTTGGCTCTTTCAACACAGTGTTTTCTGTGAGAAGTGCGTACTTAGGATTGGGCTTGGTAATCCCTGACATTGATCTTGTAACCATTTGATGTCTGATTGGTCTTTGTTCAGCTTTTTGAGCGACTTCATTGACTATTTCAGACGCAACAGAAACACTAGAATTCGCTCCGTTCGCAGAGATATTTGCATTATCAGTGAAGGTCAAGTCTCTGCTGTCTGAGTTATTTTGGCTTGGATCAGATGACCTCTGCAGTGTTAAGGACAGTTGCAAAGGTTGTACCAATTCAGAATCAATACCACTGTCTGATGTACTGCTAGTGCTTCCTGAGCTGTTCACTTCAGAGGCTGTTGGTGATAAACTCTTGTACCACGCTGACATCAGAGAAGTTGTAGCTGGAGGATGAAAGCGTCTGTAGACGTTTGAGAAGGGAAAATCTTGTTCATCAAACGTGACATGTCTACTGATGTACACTCTTCCAGTGGTTGGCAACAGACATCTATACCCTTTGAACTTGTCACTGTATCCCATGAACACACACTTTAGTGATCTTGGATCAAACTTGTTTCTGGCATAGTCTCTTAGCGTGGGAAAACAAGCACATCCGAACACTTTAAGTAGAGAATACTGTGGAGCTCTTTTGTGCAGTATCTCATAAGGACTTTTATCTTCATTCAGTGAGCTGTGAGGAAGAAAGTTACTCAGAAAATTCGCTGTGAAGAAGGCTTCTACCCAATACTTTTGAGGAACAGAGCTTTGAAACATCAGAGACAAACCCACTTCAGTAATTTGTCTATTCTTCCTCTCTGCTAACCCGTTTTGTTGGGGAGTATGCGGACAGGAAATAAGCTGTTTGACACCATTTTGTTGCAGATGTTGTAAGAAATTTGTACTAATAAACTCTCCACCTCCATCACATTGAAAAGATCCAATCTTAGTACAAAATTGATTCTGAACTAATGCTTGAAAGGTGACAAACACAGACATAAAGTCTGACTTCTTCTTTAATGGAAACAGCCAACTGAATCTAGAGAAATTGTCTACAAGGATTACATAGTAACTAAAACCTTGAACAGAAACAACTGGTGCTGGCCCCCACAAGTCACAGTGAATCCGTTCAAGTGGCCTTGTAGCAACGTATGAGGATGCAACAAACGGAAGCCTTGTACTCTTGCCAAGCTTGCACGCAACACACTGAGACTTGGAGCCTTTATTTATCAGAATATTCTTAGTAGTGGATAGGTGTTGAAGGATAAGTGGGTTGGGGTGTCCTAGCCGTTGATGCCACACCTCATCACTAGTAGCAACTTGTCTTGTGGTAAAGAAGGCATGAACTGCAGAACCCCGTAGCTTGTATAACCCATTAGTGTTTCTTCCCTGAAGAAGAACCTTCTTGGTTCCCTTATCATAGACACGCACATTGTCACAGTCAAAATCAAAGCCACATGGATAGTCCTTAGTGAGTTTTGATACAGATAGCAATGGTTTAGCTATATTAGGACAAACAAGAACATCATTCAAAGGTAACTTACCTGAGGAAGAAGCGATGCTTGTTGATCCAGTGTGAGTGATGGGCAAGTAATCTCCATTACCTACCATCACGGAGTCTGAGCCATTGTATGTATGAGCTTGTTGCAGGTGCATCGGAGAGTTTGTGATGTGTGCGGAAGCTCCAGTATCAGGAAACCACTCATGTCCAGAAACACTTGAGAGCTCAGACATACGGAGAGCAGCAAGAGCGTTGTGCATTTCATCAATCTGGTAGGAGTTGTCGAATCTATGCCAACATTTCATTGCTACATGACCGGTTTTCCCACAAATCTGACACACTGGTCTTGAATCACCTTCAGACGATACAGATGACCTTGATGATGAGGACGATGAGATATGCTGGGGAAAACCTCTTCCTCTGGTAGAGAAGAAGTCTCTCCCTCCACGACCTCTTCCTCTGTTTCTGTTGAAGGGAGATCTTCCTCTAGTAGCGTTGAACGCTAAATGTGGGGTTACACTTGTATCTGCTTTGTAACTCTGTATACGATCATCAAAGGCGTTTAGTCGCGGAATGATGTCATCAAAGCTCGGGTCATTCGTGCCATCCATAGATCCTTCTATGCTTGTTTTGATAGGCTCATAATCCTTTCCAAGAC